ATGAATATTATTATTATGTACTAGATCTTAATTCAGATAATGGACGGTATATTTTTTCAGAAGCCTTAACTTATATTAAAAATGAAATAATAAAAATATCAGTAACGTTTTTAATACGTATATATTGTATTAAGTGCAATATATCACAATAATTTCTGCATGCGCAGATCTAAAATATACGCTTTTGAAGCTTGGACAATGACAAAACTGGAGGAAAATTGTATCGCAATATTTGAGAGAAAGATTTTGCGGGGTATACTTGGTGGTGTAAATGAAAACAAGGAGAAGGAGATTTAACTTTGAACTGTACAAGATTTATAAACAACCTGATATTATTAAATACTTAAAAATAAATAGAATGAACTGGATCGCCCACGTGATTCGAATGAGTGACGACAACACAATAAAAAAAATACTACTTTTTAGACCCACTGGAAAAAGAAAGCGGGGAAGGCCGCGGTTGAAATGGGCTGACTCAGTGGAGTCTGACTTTCTCGCAATTAATGAAAAGAATTGGAGATCAACGATAAATCATTATGGAGAAATCTTCAGAGGAAGGCATTGGCTCACATTGGGCTGTCTGGCCAACTATGATGATGATGATGCAGTTCTAAAATGCATAATATAGCGCAATTTTTTTTCTCCAAATATTAGGAAAGTTTTCTGAGATAAGAATTGCAGGGAATAGAATGTTCACCTTCCCATGACCCAGCGTTGGCTGTTCAATACAAATTCTGCCCCCAGTTCGCACCGACCACAATGGCTGACTAAAAAAATATCCTCATACAGATCAGGGGTTAAAATCTCCTTGCCATTGGGCTAACCGTGGGAGGTTTTCGCGGTCTTCCTCTCCATGTAACGCAAATGCGTAATAGTCCCATAAATAATTGCTCTATGAGGGTTAATGTGTCTCAATGCTTGGTTTAGGAGTTCTCTTGTCTTCTGGGTTAGGTTCCAATTATAAAGATGCGGAGTTGAACATTAATAGGTGAAACCTCAGAATTGATTCAGCTGTTCAATACTGGTCATAAAATCATTAGAAAACCTCATTTCCTGCCGGCTGATATAGGGAGGGGGGTTTCTCTGCTTGTAATGCAATTACTTGCTATTTTCTTTACCAAAATTTCTAACCATTTTTTAGTTTTTGAGTTATCAGTTACAAAATATAGCAGTTTTACTAAGTTCAATGCTGCGTATATGATTGCAAAAATTATTTTATAACTACTGTAGTTGTAATACAAACAATTGACTTAACAATAATTTAATTATAATTAATCGTGTGATTATTATAATTAATATCATAATTGTATAATTAATATTGTTATTAATATTATAATTATACTCGATGGTCAGATAATTTAATACCGGACTGTTAAGGGTCAATTTAAATTAGAGAGAAGTAAACTCAGGTTAGCACAGACCAATGACAAGAAAGTAATGAATTGAGTTAAAAATGCACAATTTAGTAGGAATCCTTTTTAACAAATATTGTTAAAGTCAGAAAAATATGTATCAGTAAATGGTATTTTATAAAAGTACTCAAACATTTTAGGTCAACAACTGTTCTCGAGAATAGATGTAAAAATAAATATAAAACTGACAAAGTTCTCAAAAGTTCGTAATTGTTTGAGTATGGATGTTTAAAATACTAAACAATTTAACAATGGGAAAATTACTCAAACAAAACATTCGACATATAGTGCAATAATTAACTCGCTAAGTATGACTCGTGCAACATCAACACTTATTCTGGAAATAATTTCACTCTTAAGATAACAAGTTAATGGCTGGACCCAAGAGAAAAACCGTCACCTTTTTTTTACAAAGTAAAACTGACATCTTAAACCGATGTTATTGCACTAGAATAATCTTTTTTTCTTTTGCTACTTTCTCCGTGACTTTCTTTACTTTTAAAAAACAAATACCAAAGAGGTTAGAAATTCTTTATGTGCAATGTACCTTTAAGTCAAATCATTTTCCGTTTATCTCACATAAATTTTGTTTTTAAATAACAGGTTGCGTAGCCAAATTATTCAACAAAAAATAAGTACCTTTTAAGCACTTTTAAAGCACTCAAATAATATTTTTAAGCATTTAAAAAAAATATCAAAATTAGGTAGGGTTGGAATTTTTTTGACAATTGACGGTTTTATCTGGTTTTAACCATCATATCCTAACCATCATATCCAAAAAAAAAAAACTTTTGGCATGGTTTATTACAATTGTTAAAACTTTTGAATCATGTAAATCAAATGGCGTTTTCATACGCTACGGACTGACTTTGCGCCGAAATAGATTGGGGTTAAATTAATTATAAAAACGTTGAATAGAACAGTAAGAACAGTATCTTTCTGCATAATTCGTAGCGAAAATCAACATGGTAAAGGAAAAAATCTCAATTTGGAAAAGCGAAAATTAAGCACTTTCTAAAAACACCCAATGAAAAAAAGCACCTTTTAAAAAACGAAAATCGAAAATAAGCACCTTTAAGCACTTCCTAAAAACGCTACGCGCCCTGAATAACTAATCAAAATTAAATAGTGAAATGTAAAACAAATAATTCTTCATCAGCACTATTTTGTATTAAAAGAATTTTTTACTTTTAAATTTTACATTTCTCCCTAACAAGGTATTAATTGCTCTTTAGTTATAACACAAAAAATCATTTAAGTCGTTTCCCTTGTAGAATTGCAACCGAGGTCTTCAAGTATTGTTAATTTTACTTATTTATTTTTAAATATCTTCACAAGCAACTAAGGAAATTTTTTTTCATTCTTTTTTTTTTTCCTTACAGTTTTTTCTTTTACCAAGAATTTATAACTTTATTATTATTAGAAATTTGATCAGAAATACTTCTCATTTTCACAAAGCTGTGGTTATTCTGCAAATGACCATTTTGCACAATTTTCATTATTTGCAAAGAGAACGTTAGCTGAAGACGAACAAAACTTACGCTATCAATCATGAATAGCTGTTACAAATTCATAACAGTTATAAAAATAACCTATTATTCGCAATAAAGCGATACTTCATCTAACAAAAAAAAAAAAAAACAAAAAAAAGATTTCAAAAGGCAGACTTAGCTAAAGCAGAACTAGTGTGGAACATGAAATACATTTTGCTGTAATCTCGACAGACGTTAAGTATCTCGATATTTTTTATTTATTCCGTTGTATTTCCCAATTTTAGAACAAAAAATTAAACCATTCGGGGAGAATAAAAGAAAAAACTGGGTACAATTAAAAATAATAAAATTACCCAATTGAAAAGCTCAGAGACAATCAGAAGCATTGTTACAAAAGCTATATACCATTGTATACCTGCAAGTGACGTCATCGTAGATGAATCGTAGCATTTGTCAATTCAAGTGCCAATCAGGTTCGACATACACTCGCAACGTCACTTACAGGTATCTAATTAAATCCGATTTAAATCACGTGGTTAGGCGGCTTACTCAATTCACGTCTCGAGTTGCAATTGCGAAAAAAGTCTTCAATAAAACCCTAAATATGCAACTATTTAAATCAACTTTTAACAAATATATTCTCAATTAAAACTTAATTTCAAAACACGATTTGAAACAATTTTTATTCAGTTATTAAACACGTATTACAAAAGTAATATACAGATGTGAATATATACTATATATAAAAATCTAAAGTGCAAGAGTCCTGTCTTTACATGGAAGAATCACGCCAAACAAAACAGGCGAAATAAAGAATATTACGAAAGCGTCTTATTAGCAAATAAATGATTTCAAAGACGGATGCATCTAGCAATAGACAAAAGAAAATGAACTATTCATTTCCATAAATAACGATGGAAGAGAAAAAAAAAATTCTTTTCTGTTTGATGATCGCCTAATCTTTGTCGAGAAGGGGACGAAAGCGTCGAAGGAGAAGCTATTGTTCTTCATAACTTTCAATGAAACAAACAATGGGAGACAATAAAATTGCTGTCATCATAGTAACAGAAATCGGACACCAGTGATTGTGATGACCAGATATATTTTAGTTGAATATTACTGGGAGTCTTTCACAAAAATAAGAAAAACATGCCAAATCATTTGCTTTCACAGCTTTAAGATCTTGGAAAATATGAGCTAAGGTTTCAACCCGCGACATTACCACACATTTTGGAGCCCGGAACGAAACGAAGAAAATACATATCCACAAAATTTTAGTTTAATACAACCACTAATCGAAATTTATTTATTTGCAGAATTGATCCAACAACCATGCGTGGTAGTTAAATCGCATTGTTTATTTATGAATGATATAATAAGGTACATTTCGACCGATCAAAACCAGATTTAATGTTTTTAACCAAATGTGATTGCAATATAAATACAACCACTAATCGAAATTTATTTATTTGCAGAGTTGATCCAACAACAAAACGTGGTAGTTAAATCGCATTGTTTCTTAATTATGAATGATATAATAAGGTACATTTCGACCAATCAAAACCAGATTTAATGTTTTGAACCAAATGTGATTGCAATATAAATACAACCACTAATCGAAATTTATTTATTTGCAGAGTTGATCCAACAACCATGCGTGGTAGTTAAATCGCATTGTTTCTTTAATTATGAATGATATAATAAGGTACATTTCGACCGATCAAAACCAGATTTAACGCTTTGAACCAAATATGATTGCATTATAAATACAACCAAAAAACTGCAATTGGGAGTCTAGTTAAAAATAATTTTAATTTTCGATATCACAGAGTGAATTGAGAGCGAAAGAAATTTTAAACGCAGAAAACTAATATTTGTCCCGCAAAAGAGCATAATATATGAGGTTGCTTAAAATATATATCACAGATTTAAATCACAGATAATAAAGATATCACAGAGTGAATTGAGCACACAAGAAATTTTAAACGCAGAAAACTAATATTTGTCCCTCAAAAGAGCTTAATATATGAAGTTGCTTTAAGTCAATACATTAGAATTAAATAAAAGTTAAAATCATAAGGAAAAAGAGACTTACTCGTTCAATTTTGAGATGGCTTGGCCGGTTTACGGGACGCTTTACAGGAGAAGTATTATTTGCAATATCAAATTTCTGTTGCAAATTGGGCGCCACTCCAGGAAAATTGTATACGGGTTTAATGGCAGTAGACGGAGTTACACAAGGAGGTAGATGAAATGGTGTCACTTGAATGGCGGGGGTTTCAGGACCGCAACTCCAGATAGGGGCAGAAGTAGTACCACTGTGCACATTAATATCACCAATGGTAACATTATTATATGTACCACCACTAAAATTTAAGTTAACAGAGAAAGGTAAATTACTACTAGTTTTCTTTTGTTCTGTATTCCATGCCCTATTGTCTTGTGCCTGGTAATGCGGTTGCATAATTTGGTGCTGAGTAATTTCAACGGAGTTAAAACTAGAAGTATGAAATGGCTTTGAGGTTACAGGCGAGTCTGGCTTTTGCCTGTTATAAGAATTTCTTTTGTCTGGTGCTACTTTTGGAAACATATTTGGCATATTAGGATTAGATGGTTTAGACACATTTAGATTATTGTTGGCAGGTATAGGTACCTTTTTGGAAGCTGCCTGAGGCCTGGAAGGTGCATTGACATGGCCAGCTCCTGAATAGCCAGTTGCTGTATAGCCAGATATTGGATGTCCGTTTGATGGATGCCCCGGAATTGGATGATTAACATTAACTGGATGCCCTGTCATATGGTAACCATTTGACGGAAGTCCACCTGTTGTATGTCCAGGTAGTGGATGACTATTTGACGGATGTCCTGTTGTTGGATGACTATTATTTGGATGCCCAGTAATTAAATGACTGTTAGTGGAGTGCCCAGTTAACGAATGACTATTTGATGGATGGCCAGTAATCGGATGACTACTTGATGTATGTCCAGATATTAAATGAGAATTAGATGGATGTCCAGTTATTGGATGACTACTAGATGGATGTCCTGTCATTGGATGAGTATTAGATGGATGTCCTGTAATTGGATGAGTATTAGATTGATGGCCAGCTATAGAATGAGCAATTGTTTGATGTCCTGTAAACGGATGAGTATTCGATTGATGTCCAGACATTAAATGTGTGTTTGTTTGATGGCTTGAAACTAAATGACTATTGGATGAATGTCCCGACATTGGATGACTACTGGGTTGATGCCCAGACATTGAATGACTACTAGATGAATGCCCAGACATTAGATGACTATTAGATGAATTTCCAGACAACGAATGACTATTGGTGTGCCCAGATATAGGATGACTATTAGATGAATGCCCAGACATTGGATGACTATTTGATGGAAGTCCAGACATAGGATGACTACTTGAAGGATGTCCAGATACTTGATGCCCATTTGATGTGTAAATGGAATTCGGAGCTGACCTAGAAATGCCAATAAGGCTTTTCGGATCATTTATGAGCACCTGAGTAACGTCGCCTAAAGTATTTTTAATACGACGAGCTGTTTCATCTTCTAGCTCAACCTACAAAGAAAAAAATATTGTACCAACATCAGTTCTAATTATAGAAAAATAAATATAACAGACTATAAACATATTTGAAACAGCAAATTGATATCATTAGAAACTAACACACTAAATTATAGAAACTATTGCTTGTTTTATTTATGGCGGGAATTTCTTAAACATATGATGTTGATAAATAGGTAAAAATTACTGTCTTTGTAGTGCCTGTACCCAATAAAAAACATGTTAAAAAAACCTTTGTAAAGCAGATCCACCCCAAAAAGAATAGGGAAAAACTAAATCATTAAATTTCAGCAGAACATCTGCTTTATTTTCAAATGATTTCCAGAAAGTTTCTAAATGAAGTCTTACGATCAATAGAAATAAGTCTGCCACGAATATATTTCTTTCTTTTTTTATGCTACCTACCTGCATCTCTACAGACAAAGTGGATACATGAATTATTTTTTAAAACGTTTTAAGTTTAATATACACTAATCATACAGTGATGCGGCCATTATAAAGAAAAGCTTGTTTTTAAAAATCATTTTTGCCACATTAATGCTTAAATAAATTGGAAATAGGTTCCAAGAAATCGGCATTTTAACAATGAGAAGTAAATTAATCTCCGTGAAACAATAACAGGGAAAAGACTAAACGAATTCAACAGAACAATACTTTTTTGTGACAAGTGATCAAAAAGAATGTTTCATAATATTCATTCGAAACGAATACTTTCAGATAACATCAAAAGTTTGGGTTTACAAATGTGTATCCCATCATATTTAACTTTTGAAAATGCCAGACAACTAAATAATATAAAGTCTCCAAGCATGTCGGTCCATATAGGAAATGCTTGGGGCGATTAAGTGATAAGCCACACTTTTTTTTTTACAGAAGGTGATATATTTGCAATAAACTATTCCATAGAATTATTTCCAGTTATGTACTTGTCAAGTTTACTAAGGTAAAGCACAATATACAGAATCATCTTATAGTCTACATGGAAACTTTAGTGTTTTTGCACCAAAAACGCTTTTAAAATACTCTACTAAAAAATTTAAAAATGTGGCTTATCATTATATTCCTTTCTTCATTCGGCCTCTCACCCTTCTTAAAAAAAGTTTTAGGTAAATACCAGCGTTATGAGAGCACCCGAATGATCTACCCAAATAAAATAAAAACACCTAACTGTTCCATAGTATTATTTCCAAATTGGTGCTTTTCAAGTTTCTAATATTTCTATTGGATAACAGCACAATTTCGAGACACATTTTAATTACTACATTAAAATCTAGGCACTTTTCCCCAAAAATGATCCACTGGATGTGGCTTATAATTATATTAGACCTGAAAAAAGCCACTCGCCACATGGAGAGTCAACAAAAAATAGCGGCGACTTAAATTAAATAAATAACAGGACACTTTTTCCCACCTTTTGTCTTTCTTGTTTTTTGTTTTTTTAAATCGTTTAATGATAAAAGTACATCAACGCAGAAAGACACTGGAAAGCAAAATTTTTATTAAAATGTCCTATGTCTCCATTCAAAATTTTGACCCTTTAGAACCAATCAATTTGTTATGTAACAATTCATGTGGAAACAGTTTTTTAACAATTCACATATTTTAAAGTTGTAATATATACATTGAATGTTTTTGACATCCCCACGCATTTTTAAATTAAGTTCGTTAAAGTAAGTATGCTTAACTAAATTTTGTCACATATTTAATATTATTTTTATTATTAAATTAACTTTTTATAGTCGTAGGATTATTTCTAAAATGATTGTTTTTTTCAAAAAAAAATTTAATCCAAGGCAAAAAAAAAAAAAAAAAAAAAAAAAAANAAAAAAAAAAAAAAAAAATAACATCTTGCAAAGAATGGCTATTAAAAGAAAAAAACAACCTATCGATATCGGTCTCCGAGTCATTAGGTTTAAGGAAAAAAAACTTGCTACTAAGTTATTAGAGCCAAACGGCCACTGGCTATTAATTGAAAGTTTAAATTTTCAAGTCTGCATTATATTGCTCCAGAGTCTTCATACATCCAAAAAGAAAATAAAAATAATACTTTGATACTAATACAGGGTGCATAGCCAAATTTTTTAATGAAAAATAAGCACTTTAAAAAATTTAACAAAATTTAAGAAAAAAAATTGAAGCAACTTTTAATTAATAACGAAATTATCATTGTAAAATTTGAAAAAAAAATATATGTCACAAATTTAACAAGATATGAGCATTTGAAATAATATTTTCAAACTGCGCATGCACGAAATTTTTTTTTAAAAAGAATCCCATAATTTTGTAGAAAAACTTATTTGGTAACTATTGAAAAAAGAACTTGAAGATCTTGAAAATTTAAAAAGCTTCAGTCAAAGAAAATAAAGCACTTATTACAAAAGAACTTTTTAAGGATTTTTAAAAAACGAAATTTGAAAAAAAAAATATATTACAAATTTAACAAGATATGAGCATTTGAAATAGTAATTTTTAAACTGCAATGCACGGAAAATTTTTAAAAAAAATCCCTCTTCTTTCATTAGTTACCAAATAAGTTTTTCGACAAAATTATGTAGAAAAACTTATTTGGTAACTAAGGAAAAAAGAACTTGAAGATCTTGAAAATTTAAAAAGCTTCAGACAAAGAAAATAAAGCACTTATTACAAAAGCACCTTTTAAGAACTTTTAAAAAATGAAATTTGAAAAAAAATATATATGTTACAAATTTAACAAGATATGAGCATTTGAAATAGTATTTTCAAACTGCAATGCACGGAAAATTTTTTAAAAAAATCCCTCTTCTTTCATTAGTTACCAAATAAGTTTTTCTACAAAATTATGTAGAAAAACTTATTTGGTAACTAATGAAAAAAGAACTTGAAGATCTTGAAAATTTAAAAAGCTTCAGTCAAAGAAAATAAAGCACTTATTACAAAAGCACCTTTTAAGAACTTTTAAAAAATGAAATTTGAAAAAAAATATATATGTTACAAATTTAACAAGATATGAGCATTTGAAATAGTAATTTTCAAACTGCAATGCACGGAAAATTTTTAAAAAAAATCCCTCTTCTTTCATTAGTTACCAAATAAGTTTTTCGACAAAATTATGTAGAAAAACTTATTTGGTAACTAATGAAAAAAGAACTTGAAGATCTTGAAAATTTAAAAAGCTTCAGTCAAAGAAAATAAAGCACTTTTTATAAAAACACCTTTTAAGGACTTTTAAAAAACGAAAATCAAAAAACATGTATATATAAAAACGTACCTTAACTGGTTCTCCAAAGATGGGTTGTGGGGAAGGCTCTCTGATTCCATCAAGCAATAAAAGCCTGGCGCGGCGCTCCTGCTCACGAAGATCCACGCTAAAATAAAAAGAAAACGTCAGTTATAAATTATTATTTTTTTTAAATCGTTAAGTAAGATTAACTCATACTTTGGTTGTTTTTTTTTTTTGTAAAAATGAACAAATAATCTAAACTACATTAAAAAATAAATAAATTCATTATAAAACTAGGTCTTGGCTATAAAAGCGTTTAATTTATTATGATTTTTTTTTTTTAATATTATTTGTTTTATAATTATTAATGTTTTGGACGGGTTTCTGATAGATGAAAAATCTCTACCAATCTGCGACAAAATCATTTCTCATAACTGCTTCATTTAAGCTAAAAAACGCTTCATTATCAAAGCGTTTTTATGATCTAAAAATCAAAACTAGATTCAACAAATTCTCCAGATTCCCTAAATTCTCAAGAAGAAAATGCAAAATTGCAATTCAACAATAAAAATAAAATAAAAATAATAAACTCCAAATTCGACCAGCTTTCCCTCCCTTTTTCCTCCCCTTACACGTCATCACTTAAAGATGAATATGTAAAAATAACTTTACTTGAAACACAATATTTCCTTAAAAGTGTTATAATTCATTTCATGACGATCTATTTATTCAATTAGGCGAATTAAAATGCATTGTATCTCTTTGCACTATTTGTCTCTATGCATTGACTTAAGAAATGTATCCAAAGAGAAAAGTTAATTGCCCATTAATTTAAAACGGCAGATGCTTTTAAAAGATTTAAAATGGGGGAGAAGAGTCAAAGGATTAAAAATGGGGGAGAAAATCGTGCTTTTAAAATTATTAAAGTGCTTTACAGATTGATAAAATTAAAACGGGCAACTTCCAGGCGGAAACTTTAAAAAAAAAAAAGATCACAGACTAACTCAAAGGGTTTAACTCCTAGTCACCTCGGGCAAACTTCAAAGCTTTTGTTTTAAAAAAAAATTGCCAAGTTTGAAATAGATTTGACGCCTTGGTGATTGCAGTTGGCGGCACATCACGGTACGGAAATATCCCCATTAAAACCAGTATACACTGAGAATGCATAAAAAATAGTGTCTCTAAAATTATTAACTAATATATCGCTCATGGGCTGCAATAGCGGCACAACTCAAAAAATCATGTTTTGAGATAAGTGGGTTTAAAGTTTTCATTGCTAAGCAAAATGCATAAGAAATGCTTTAGTTTGCTTAAACGAAGTTTACCTTCAAGTTGAATTATGAGTTGTGCTAATATTGCAGCTGAAAGAATGTGTATTTTCATATTTACACCTGTTCTTAGTCCAACACGCGTGTTTTTTGAGTTGTGCCACTATCGCAGCCCATGAGCGATATATAATATTATTAGATTATAATACTACCTTTCTACAAAAATCGCACTTATCCCTTCAATAGGCAATTAACCCACATTACTCTCCACCTGATGATATGCCAGTACTTAAAACTCCGGACAGATTAAACTATAAATTGCTTGTACATAAATTATACAACTAATTTTTGGTCAGGTTAGACAGATATTTTCTTCATCACGATATTATAAACTGATTGACAAAAAAAAGCACACACTCAGTTACTTTTATGTGCAACCTAGGTAATTCATCATAACAATCCCAACAATTTCTCGCCTTGTTTGCAAAAACAAAAAGTGGTCATGTGGGAGTAACAAAAAGTGATTCATATATCTTTCATTTATCTTAGAATGCATTTGGGAATCAAATATCACCCCATTTGGATAAAGATTTCTTCATTAGTCACGTTTAGAGGCAATACATTTCAATACACTTATATGGAAACTAAATGATTCAAAGTGGTATGATAAAATTTAAAAAGTTGAAGTGTCAACAGGTTCTTCCGCCCAAGAAAAATAAAAAAAAGCTACAGTTTAAGTACCTTTAACTCAAGTAAATCTGAAATTTTAAACGAAACACACTATCATGCCGTAAAGAATTATCTGGGATTTAAAATGGATTAATAGCTTAAAAAAAAAAAAAAAATCTGAGTCATGACAGGTATTTCTTTCTTTCAAAACATTAAAAAGAAAAAACGAATAAAATGTTTAAAAAAAATTTAAAAAATTTAGAAAAAATCATGATCCTTCACTTATGATGCATATATCAATGTACTAATTTTTTTGTTATTAGTCATGATCTTAACAAAATACCTTTCAATACATTCATATAAAGGAGTTGTCTATACATATTGTTATCACATCATATGACTCAACTGGGTGGGTATTTTGAAATTCAGTATCGCTAGGGGATATTGGGGATAAGGATATCAATTTATGATTTCCAATGACATTTTTGAAATTTGATGCGATAGTTTCTTACCCTTAAATATTAGGGGGACCGGAAAGTAATGTCGTTTTAGAGCATTAAACATTCGTTAGTCTTAAAAATCTATTCATTTTTTTCGATCCATTTCAATTCATTTTCGATCCGGCATTGAAAGGTTGTTGCTAACGTGGGTGAATACATTACTGGTTAAAAATAAAACCCTGATAACAAATATCAAATGCGCCAAAACGACATTACTTTACGGTCCCCCTAATATATTCGTTTTTCTTTCCCCATCTTAAATTTTGAACACATTTCGTTAAAATTTAAAAGACCGAAGAATAAAAAATATCTTAATTAAGAACATCTTACTCAATCTCTATCCTTATCTCTAGTCTTTTTTTTTTTTTTTTTTTTTTTTTTTTTTTTTTTTTTTAAATTTTAAAATTTAGTTTTTCCAGATTTTTGACTGTTTGTGTAAATTGGGGCAGCAGTTAAATTCATAAAAGAACTACTTCTGTATTTCAATTAAATAAAGTACATTATGTTTACTATAAAATATGCATTATTTTATAATATACTTAAGTATAAAGGTATCTAAGAGGTATTTTCTGTTCAACTGTTACTACCTCTTTTTGACCATAATTAGTCAAATAAATTCTTTAATTAGTCATAAATACATATGTACGGTTTTTTTAGGTCACATAATAAATGCAGCCATTTTTGATTTAATTATTTTCCCCTTTTTCCCTAAAACTGTCTGTTACACAATAAAATAGCTATAGGTATTAACACCAGTAAATGATGAAATTTTAACCACGGAATATAAGTTATTCTTTTCAAAAGTATTTATTTATTTATTTTCAGATTATTATTTACATATTTTTCTTGGCGTTAATCAATTACGCAAATTAGGCATTTAAGTACGGTGTTTAAAACATACAATTTTAATTAATAATTTATCAAATGCAAATATTGACAAGCAAATATTGGACTAAAATATTTAGCTTCGAAACAACATTTAAGTTAATTTCAAAAGGTAGATAAAAACTGAAAATTTAAAAAAAAAAGATAATAATAATTACTTACGGTCGAATCATCGACAGGTTTTTCATTGATAAGCTGGCGCACATATTATGTTAAATCCGTCATGTAAATGTTTAACATTTTCCCCCTTATTCACGGCACTTACAATACGAAATAAAGAACAAACACCATTTTAGATAAATAGAAAGAAATGACCACGGAACTTTCTCTTCCCCTCTGCAGAGCACCTCAAAAATCACGTGACTTGACTTTTAACAGGTTGAGCCCCGCAGCAAATCACACTGGTTGTTTAGAGAAAAGGGAGTAAGTTTCAATTCAACCTGATTTTTGGAATCAAGATTATATGTGAAATTGTCTTTTTGTAAGTCGGTAAGATTATAAGTGAAATTGTGTTTCAGTAATTCGGTAAAGCGAAAGTATTTTATTCGATTTAGTGGGGAGGAGTAATTTGAAGCATTGTACTAATCGGCTGTCTAATCCACTGTTCTTTTTTCCTTCTTTTTTTTCCAAGAAAAATTTTTTTTTATGGGCATAATCTCTGATTTAAGGAAAAAATATTCAAGTTTGATTAAATGTTAATAAGCCAGCATAAAATCCTGTTATAACGCGAATATAACTAGGGAGTTTTTCTCTAAACTTCTTGAATATTAATTACCTTACCCAAGACGTGAAGAAAAAAGCATTCGAATGTTCAAAGAAAGTCTACTCCCTTCGAAAAGCTTTAAAAACACTTCTTAAATTCAATTTTTTTTAAAAAGATGGAATATAAATTAACAATAAAGAGAAAGACTATTCAAGAAACAATTTTTCTTCTTTTTTTTCCAAGAAATTTTTTTTTATGCGCATGATCTCTGATTTAAGGAGAAAATATACGAATTATGTTTGATTAAATGTTAATAAGCCAACATAAAATCCCGTTATAATGCGAATATAAATAGAAAGTTTTTTTCGAAACTTCTTAAATATTAATTACCTTACCCAAGACGTGAAGAAAAAAATATTCGAATGTTCGAAGACTCCCTTCGAAAAGCTTTAAAAACGCCTCTTAAATTCAATTTTTTTATAAAAAAGATGGAATATAAATTAACAATAAAGAGAAAGACTATTCAAGAAAACAATTCCAGAAAATTTCTGCAAAAAAAAAAAGGGTCAAAACAAAGCAGAAATTCACTCCAAATCTATTCAAAACGTAAAGAAAGGAAGACCACAAAAAACGGCAATTTAAACACCAATAACATAATTAAAACAAAGAATAAAGGTATTCCCAAGATCAAATTGTGTTTGCATTCCTAAAATGCATATTGATCGGAGAAAATTTTTTTTACAAGTATGATAATCAGATCTATCTTGGCTTGATCATAGAAATTTGTCGGATGCTTCCACCCCAAAGACACGGAATAGTCCTTCAATTTCAAGCTTCTGGAACAACGCACCTCATATTTAATTACGAGCTATTTATGGTAGCTTCATTTGAAGTCTCCTGGCATGTTCTTCCCCCGAACCAAATAAATGCTTAAATAAGAGCGATTATTGCGTATAGAAGCGAGCGAATTCCATCCGATTGTTGAAAGGAGAGATAAGCCATCAAGATAATATTCATTTCACAGCAAAATGTTTTAGCACTTATTCAAGTGATGTGATTTTGATAGCGGAAATATTTTAGAAGCTTTCCTTTTAATTAAATATTGTAGAAGCGGAAAGGC